TTCTCTCTCTCGCTCGCGCACACACAGGGATTTATGCCACCATAGGGTGGGATGAATGGTCTCAATACAGGACCTATGACCACATACAGCCAGCTGCCCCTTTTAACTACTATCAGTGCTCCAGTTTTTAACCTAGTTGGAGTTTCAAAGAAATAGGGCACACAGCTGTGTTCAGCAATTGTACTTGGTTATCAAAAACACAAATTAAAAAAATATGGAGAGCATGGAGGGAGCCAAGCTATGTTACTAGCAGGCTTGAAAAAAAAGATGGCCAGGAGTGGCCAACTTGCAGCACACAGGCCAGAAGTGGCACATGCAGCCTCCACGGGCACAGGGCAGATTGGGAAAGGGGCAGGGAGCAGAAAGCAGAGTAGCCAATAGGCAGGAAGCACAGGACAGGAAGCAGAAAGCCAGAGCAACCAATTGGGCAGGGGACTAGAGTGGCAGTCAGTGAGGGCATACAGGGCAAGCAGCAGGAAGCAAAGCAGCCAATCAAGCAGGGAGCATGGGGAAGGGAACAGAAAGCAGAGCAGCCAGTTGGGCAGAGAATAAGAGCAGCACTCAGGGAAGAAGCATGGGGCAGAAAGCAGATCAGCCACTGGAGCAGGGGACTGGAGTGGCATCCGGCTAGGGAGTGTGGGGCAAGGAGCAGAAAGCAGAGCAGCAGATGGGGCAGGGGATTTGAAGTGACACTCAGGGAGGGAGCACAGGGCATGGAGCAGAAAGCAGAGCAGCTGATTGGGCAGGGGATTAACAGAGTGCTCAGGGAGCAGAAAGCAGAGCAGGGAGCATGAGGCATAAAGCAGATCAGCCAGTAGGGCAGGGGAGTGGTGCTTGGGAAGGGAGCATGGGGCAGAAAGCAAAGCAGCCGATTGGGCAATGGATTGGAGTGGCATTTGGGCAGGGGGCAGAAAGCAGAGCAAGCAGGGATTGGAATGGCACTCAAGGAGGGAGCATGGGATGTGCTCAACTGGGGTGTGCCCATTCTCCTGCTGGAACCAAAGCTGGAGGTCCCTGGCTAGAGGATCCGTTCGGAGTCAGACCAATCACCATACTTGGGGTCAGGAAGGACTGTTACCCTGTGGTCAGATTAGTACGGACTGTCGGGGGGGTTGCCTTCATCTGTAGCTGGGGAGGATGGCCCTGTACCTGGGACCTCTGGAGCCTATATTGACTTTCACAGAAGCAGCACACTGCCCGCTGCAGTTCCCCAGCTTTATGTGTGGCAGGTGAGGGTGTTTGGAGTGTGCTGTGTGCTAGGGTTGCCAACTCTGTTTTAATCTATTCCGGGAGGTTTCATCACACGACCTAATGAGATTAACGAGTCTGTACATCCGGAAGGCAAATGCACATGACTATTACATTTTAAAACCCCACTAGACTATTCTATAAATTGGATTCAACATGGAATATTGATTTTTAACAAATGCCCTTGCATTTCTCTCCCAGGGTGACTCTCAGCAGCTTCCTGGAAATGTAGATCTAATTCCTGGAAATTCCTGGAGGCTTGACCACCCTGGACTCTACTGGGAACCTTTCACAAAAGCAGGATTTGGCCTGTGGCAGGCAAGGGTGTCTGGTCTGTGCTGTCTGGCAGTGCTTCCTGTCAGCAGCACTGCCAGATCTTAGATATGAAATTATCGTACTGGAATCTCAAAATTATCATATTTGCTGAAAAACTATCGTACCCTGAAAAAATATGCAAATAAATCTTCTTATTTACTTTATATTGCTAACTGTAATCTTCAGAGAGTGAGTGAGAACTGGGTCATCAAAGTTCAAGCACTTCTTTCTTTTAAGGCAAGCAGTCATAAGAAAATGATGACAGCAAGCCCCAAAGCTGATTAAGACATCCTGAGATTGACTTCGGTTTTGCATCAATTAGCTACCTCCGAAATTATGGTATATTTTGAATGCTTTTACTATTATTGATCTTACCTCGTACAAGGGTTGAAATGATTGTACAAATACAATAATTATTGTATGCCTGGAAACACTGTTAAGACTCCCTGAGCATGACTTGGGTTTTGTACATACTGCATCAATTAGCTCTATCTCCAAAATTATTGTACCTCTTGAATGCTTTTCCTATTATTGATTGTACATCATACAAGGGTTGAAATGACTGTACAAATAACATAATTATCCTTCACCTAGCAGCAGTCCTGTCAGAGTCACAAGAAGGGACCTTCCGAGGGCACATAGTCCAGCACAAGAGTTGAAATGACTGTACAAACACCATAATTATCATACACCCGGCAACACTGTTAAGACTCCCTGAGTGTGACTTGCATTTTGCATCAATTAGCTACCTCCAAAATTATCATACATTTTGAATGCTTTTACTAATAAATGATCATACATTGTACAAGGGTTGAAATGATTGTACAAATATCACCATTATCCTACACCTGGCAACTGTTAAGACTTCCTGAGTGTGACACGGGTTTTGCATATACTGCATTAATCAGCTACCTCCAAAATTAGCGTACATTTTTTTAACACTTCTACTAATATTGATCGTGCATTGATTGAAATGATTGTACAAATAGAATAATTATCCTACACCTGGCAACACAGTTAAGACTTCCTGGTATGACTTGGGTCTTGCATCGATTAGCTACCTCCAAAATTATGGTAATTTTGAAGAGTTTTACTATTATTGATCATACTTCATACAAGGCTTGAAATGATTGTATACATACCATAATCACCCTACACCTGGCAACAATGTTAAGCCTCCCTGAGCGTGACTTGGGTTTTGTATATACAGGTTTCCCTCGCTTTATGCAGGTTCTGTATGTGTGAATTCACTCTTATGTGATGACCCTTTATATACCAAAAATTCATTATATGCAAGGTAAATTCACTCTTATGTGATCAGTGTTGTGGAAGCCCGCAGGTACCTGCTTTGGGTGGTGCATTGTGGGAGTGATGCGCACTAAAATACAGTCTCTGGTGTGGATCTGTGCTCAAGTGGTGGTGAATGTATAGTTGGTGTGAAGACAGAGGTGAAGGTTTCATTGATGGACCAGGGAAAGGGGTAGGAGATAAGCTAATGGGATGCTTAGAAGCCATAATGGGGATGGAAACTACAGAAACACGTGTCGCAGACAACAAGTGAGGAGCACAGATCCACACAGGAGACTATTTTGATGTGTCACTCCCATGATCAGTGCCGTCCCTGGGGGGGTGTGAATCAGGGAAACTGCCCCGGGCCCCTGTGCTTTGGGGTGCTCGGCAGACAGTGCTGTACAGGCTCTGCTGTGGCTGCCAAGCACTGCCAGCTCTGGCTGCTCGCCACCTTTCCTTTTCCCCCTCCACAACCCCCCTGCCAGCTTGCATATAACTAATTTTTGGTATAATAAGGGTCATCATTGTATAGGAGCAAATTCACACATACAGAACCTGCATAAAGTGAGGGAAACCTGTCCTGCATCCATTAGCTATGTCCAAAATTACTTTACATTTTTGGCAGACAAGGATTTTCATAGCCTTGGAAGATAATTGGGTCCATCCCCTTGCACCAAGCAGGAAAGACAACTGGGGCCAGGTGGCCTCAGCAAGGTGACGGTCCAGTCTCCTCTTGAAGATTTCCAGGGTAGGTGAATGCACCACCTCGGTCTGGACACCCTAACTGGAAGAAGTTTTTTCCTAATGCTGAGCCGCAATCGATCTTCCAGGAGTTTGTGACCATTGTTCTTAGTTTTCCCCAGCAGCACCCTGGTGAACAGTTGTTCACGGAGCCCTTGATTTATGTCCCTGATCAGTGGCGATGTGTATGGGGTGCACGTGCACCCCCTGACCCCGATATATCCGTAGGTCGCTCCCAAGTCCCCCCTCAGCCTTCTCGTTTTCAGGCTGAAGAGTCCCAGGTCCCCCAGCCTTTCCCCGTGTGGCTTGCCCTGCAAGCCTCTGATCATAGGGGTGGCTCTCCCAGCCCGGTTCCTTGGGCGAGGCCGACAGCGCTTCTCCGACCAGCTGCACTAGCTGAGCCGGTCTGATAAGAGCAGACCAACGTTGTCCTTGGCCACCACGTGCCAACTGCCCGGGCCAGGCTGAGGCAGAGCGAAGCAGGCCGAGGCGCGTTGCAACGCTCGTGGGGCGGACGCACGGGACCCAGGGCGGCGCGACCAGCGCAAGGACACGCCCGGGCGGCAGCGCTGCCTGTCAGCAGGGCCCTCCCCCACCCCATCCACGTGGAGCGGGGCCGGGCCCCTTGCGCCCGCCC